CCCGGGGGCCGGCAGTTTTATTATTAGGGGGGTTTAGTAAATGCGGGAAGCGATTACTCAACCATATCTGCGAAGATTGGTTCGTGAGCGCGGGCATAGGAAAAGTTTGCACCGGAAACGTTTCGAAACAGGTTGCTGCGCACGAGGCGCTGCACAAGGGCGAACAACAACCCAGCGGTTTGGAAACTGGGCAGGCGCTGCAATTCCTGGAGCAGGTCGGCCTTTGCGCATGGGCACTCTTAGCAGCAGAATGTCGTCCACACAAGAATAGGTGCACTGATCTCACATGCGTGAACCTGAAGCAGCCAAATCAACAAAAGCGAGCCCTTACGCATGTGGTTGGGCTTTGTGTGTAGACGCCGTGCACCCGGTGGTTGCTGGATGCGACCAGCTCAAACGGTATCGCGTGATCTCGATCTGTCGCACATTGTCACGCGATCTGGATGGCCTCTGTGCTCTAACGTCTCCCAGCCTGGATGCCATGCACGAAAAGACGGCATCGCAAGAGCTCAGGGTGGGTGTGCTCTTGAAGGGAAGCTCGTTGGCAAGCATCTCGGTGCCGCGATGGTCGTGCCGCCGAGCACTGCCTTCGTGTACATATTCAGACGTACAAACTCCCGCCCAAGCGCTGCGCTACATGCGATCGTGTCGCATAAGTTGTCATGGGCACTCGTTGCTTTCCTTCGCAGCGTTGCTCGTGTTGTTGCTTCCGCATCCTCCGCTCACCTCAACGACGTTCTTGGTATGTTGTGTTTATATACCGACATATCATATGATAAGAAATTGGCAGGCCTTGGTGGTGGTAGTAGTAGTAGTAGTAGTAGTAGTAGTAGTCGTAGTCGTAGTCGTAGTCGTAGTCGTAGTCGTAGTCGAAGTCGTAGTAGTACGCACTCTGGCTCAGCTGTGTCCCAGCAGCGGGACTCATAGTTGTGGAGGCGGTAGCATGTATGCTATGGAGCAAACCTTGCGGTGGAGTCCGGCTCCGAAACGCGATGATCACGTTCCTCGTGCAGTGAGCCGCGCTAGCGCTACCATTGACGCTCGCCAGCTAGGTGCCTCTTGGCCCCAACATGGGGCGCATGGGTCGACTGAATGCCTTTGCTCCTGGCCTGCCAACGCATCAGTCTTTGTGCCACCAACACGGACTCCTATGACCGGAGAAAGACTACCTCTGCCTTCGTGCCACTGTTTGTGGGCACGGGGGGCTAGCCCCGTTGCACGTGCGTGTCTGCCAGCAGCCAGGAGTTGGCGCAACTTTTCCTGCAGCTGGCGCAAGCACGACGTGGTTGCCACCCGCATTCCTCCTGGGCGAGCGACCAGCGCGGCCGGAAGGCAACTTCCTTGCCGATCCGCGGCGACTTCAAGTGCCGAAGCTAAACGGAGTACAGGTCACAAATGGGAAGCAGGAACCTACTCATCAGTGGAAGCCGGCGGCGGCAACCTACTTTATCCTGGGATGGGATGGCCCGCACTGCATCCCGACCCCACGTATGCTTCGAGATGTGGTCTGGATTCTGACGCTACGTCCCTCCAGGTCACAGTTAGTATGTGCGAGAAAGCTGTGTTCTGGCGATGCTCTGCGGCCAGACCTCCCTTGGGTACTGAACTACTCGGTTCTCACTGTGCCCACCAAAGGCCACTTGCAGTTCACAGAACTGCAGGGTGCAGAACGTGGTCCTTAGGGTGCCCTCCTAGGGCCACGGCAGTTCTCAGGACTGCACTTTTGTACAGAAAAACACCATGATCAACGCAAGCTGCCAGAACAGATGGCTGTAGCGACGTCGATAGCTCTACGACGTTTTTTCACTTTTTACGTCCTCGCTTTCTGATGCTTTTTGCTTATCTGATTTTGCTTTCTTGTGATCGAGTGAAGTCTCGACCAGTTGAGTAGGTCGCAAGTTTGCAACTATGCGTAGCGGGACCTGCCCATGTGGTTCGAATGCTTGTGAAGCGTTTTCATCTTTTGAAGCGTTTTCATCTTCAACCGGCAACCCCCGCACCGCGAACCACAGTTCCAGACGCAACATCATTCGACCAAATAGCGTCGCGCGCAATGTCCGCGTCGCT